GGAAAACTGTACTAGAAGGAGGGGTATCGGTATTTGGGGAGATATCTGTACTGGGAGAAAACTGTACTAGAAGGAGGGGTATCGGTATTTGGGGAGATATCTGTACTGGGAGAAAACTGTACTAGAAGGAGGGGTATCGGTATTTGGGGAGATATCTGTACTGGGGGAAGTCTGTACTAGGGAAAACTGTACTATTGGGAGGGGTATCGGTAGTTGGGGAGTGATCTGTACTGGGGGAAGTCTGTAATTAGGGAAAACTGTAAAAGTGGGAGGGGTATCAGTACTTGATGGGGATATCTGTACTGGGGGAAATCTATACTAGTGAAAACTGTACTATTGGGAGGGGTATCAGTATTTGCGGAGATATCTGTACTGGGGTAAATCTGTACTAGGCAAAACTGTACTAATGGGAGGGATATCAGTACGTGGGGAAATCTGTACTGGGTGAAGCTGAGGGCTGAGGGGATCATTAGTGGGAGGGGGGGAAGATCTGTATGGTTGCTATTTTGCTTGGAGTGGGGTAACTTTTTTGTTGTACTCTGTCTACTGACCTGTGCATTACACTCTCCTGTCTCCAGTAACTAATATTTTTTGGATACAAGGACTGCTCCAAATGTTACCATGTACACCGGGGCTCAAGTTTGAAGCTGTTAGGCCCCACCCACAATTTTCCACAGTCCCCCATCCCCGGAAAAAAAAAATTGACTGTGGTCCTGATTCCGTTAGGGTTTGGAACAGCTGCAGATGGAAACAAAACTAGAAGTTAAGCCTTAAGGCCTGAAGTTTGGCGTGCGTTGGGCGCCTCAACCCAAGTCAAGTTTTATCAGAAGACGGAATCCATGTAAACCATGAAGCGAAGCTTTTTCCCTCAGAGCGCCATCGTGAATCAAATCCAGTTACCATGAAGGAGATCGTTAATTAAGAGATAGCATTCCTCTCACTAAGTGCACTAATAAATATTCTTGTAGGCTTAAACCCCCTGTGAGAATATGACTGAAAATCCACATTGAAGAGCAATTAAAAAGTCCCAGCGGACGGCCTACAACGCTTCGCCGCCAATGCAGCATTACCCGGCAATACAGAAATATATAACATTAACATTTCATGAAGGTTACGGCTCTGTTTCCAGCGTTCATGTTGCCGCACATTGGCATGCACAGGGGCTGGAGAGGGATACAGATACTAATAACGTGGAATGGAGGTAATAGATGGCCGTGTCTGCCGTATCAATGGAGGCAATCTTCGCGTCAGAATAAAGACGATGAATTGCCGCAGATAACAATCTCTAACTGGTCATTTTATTCCAGCCGCTGATCCGGATTTATATTCATTGTCAGCCGGGCGTTTTTAGGAGGACAAACAAGAAAAATAAACCTGGGAGCCGATTTAATGAGGCGGTGCAAAGGGCGCACATCGGAAACTTTTCAAAATTAAAAATCAGCTCGCGGTAAAGCAGGACGCACGTGCGCCGCTTTTATATCAACCTGGATTAGATTTGGATCGGAAAGTTTCATGGGGGTTTTTTATTTTTTTTTATATATATCTTCTTAAGTGAACGCTTTATGGCAAGAACTTTGCGGAACCTTGACTTACCTAGGGGAGGGTGACGCCATTCCCCTTCCACCGAGATCTGGGGAACCTAGAGGAGCCCAAATGTAGACATTCCCAACACTGTGCTGCAGGATATTCTGACAAGATTTGGAGTACTCACCAAGGGCGGACTGACAACTCATGGGGCCCCCGGGCAATAGGGGATCATGGAGCCCCTGTGTCCATGCCCACACTCAAAAAAGCATTTAAAAAGGTACCAGGGGCATTTTATGGGGCCCCCTACTGACCCCGGGCCCTCGGGCAGTCCACTCCTGGTACTCACCATTCCCCATGAACTCATTGGCAGGAGGATGACATCATCCCTGTGCAATACAGATGCCCGAAGAGATGTAAGTATGATATCCAGCAATTTCCCCCTACAGGCCATTTTTCAGCATTGTAGCAAGGGGGGGGGGGGGGGGGGGGGGGGGGGAGGGAGGGGCAAGGGTGCGGGCACATTTAAAATTTGAAGAGCAAGGAAAGCTAAAGGATTAATTAAGGCTTAAGTGTCCCACATGGAAGAAGAATAGATTTTAAAAACATACTTCCCAAACATGACGATATATATTTGAAATACTACAATTTTGGCCGCAGTCAATACATTTAAATATATATATATACACTGTATGCTGAAATGCGCTTTTATTACAAAAAATATGAAAAATATTTTTTTAAATAAATTTTTAAATATACTGTATGTCTTAAAAAATACATTTAATTTTTGGAATGCATTTCACAAATATATGTAAAAATATATTATTATTATTATTATACAGGAATTATATTATTATTATTATTATACAGGATTTATATTATTATTATTATTATACAGGATTTACAGGATTTTATAATCAACAGTTTGCTCAGCACTTTACAATATAACGGGAGACAATACAGCAACAATACAGTTCAATACAAGAGGGATAGGAGGGCCCTGATCCTGGGAGCTTACAATCTAAAATATATGTTAAAATGACTTTTTATGTGTTAAAAAAAATCTGAAGAATATATGTAAAAAATATATAATTGTAAAAATATTTTCCATATATTTTGAAAGATATAAAAACACATTTTAATATGCAGTATCTATATGTACAGTATGTATATATATATATATATTCAATATATTTCAGAAAATGTTTCAATATATATATATTATTATTATTATTATACAGTATTTATATAGCGCTAAAAGGTTTGCTCAGCGCTGTACATTATAGTGCGGGTCTCCTAGATTGTAAGCTCCCAGGATCAGGGCCCTCGCACCCCCCCGTGTATTGTTACTGTACTGTCTCATGTTCTGCCCCCACTATAATGTACAGCGCTGAGCAAACCTTTTAGCACTATATAAATACTGTATAATAATAATTAATATATATATATTGAAACATTTTCTGAAATATATTGAATACGGCCAAAATTGTAGTGTTTCAAATATATGTCAACATATTTTATTTCAGGTACTTCTATAGCGCCGTCAATTTACGCCGCACTTTATATATATATTGTACATTCACATCGGTCCCTAACCCTCAAGGGGTACAATCTAAAGTCCCTAATTTACATTCATAAGTATGCTAGGGTCAATTTAGACAGGATCCAGTCAACCTACCAGCATGTCTTTTGGAGTGTGGGAGGAAACCCACACAGGCACAGGGAGAACATGCAAACTCCAGGCAGGTGGTGCCGTGGTTGGGATTTGAACCAATAACCCTAGTGCTGCCAGGAGGAAGTGCTAACCATTTAGCCACTGTGCTTCCCAAATATATTTGGGAAGAATATTTTTAAATATAATATATTTCAAATATATTTTTCTTCCATGTGGGCGGGTTGCATCAGGACTTAAAAGCCTTTTGTAGAAGTTGGGTCAAGAACTAGTGGTTCAGGAATGGACGGGCGAAGCGTTGATTATTATTATTATTATTATAATACAGAACTTATATAGCGCTGACAGTTTGCTCAGTGCTTTAGATTATGAAGGGAGACAGTACAGTAACAATACAGTTCAATACAAGAGGGATTAGAGGGCCCTGATCCTGGGAGCTTACAATCTAGGAGGGAGGGGATAGTGGTACAAAAGGTAATTAGCTGTGGGGGATGGAGTGGTAGGAAGAGTAGAGGATTCCAGTACTAGCTGGGTTTAGGATAGGCTTCCCTGAAGAGATCGGTTTTCAGAGATCGCCTAAAAGTGAGCAGAGTAGGCGATAGTCTGATAGATTGGGGTAGGGAGTTCCAGAGGATGGATGAAGCCCTTGAGAAATCCTGGAGATGAGCATGGGAGGAGGAGAAAAGGGAGCTAGAGAGTAGGAGGTCTTGCGAGGAGCGGAGAGTACGGTTTGGGTGATATTTAGAGACAAGGTCGGTGATGTAATTTGGGCGGAGTTATAAATGGCTTTTATATGTTATTGTTAATAACATTAATTGTTTTAACCACTTCCTGTCCGGACACCCCCCCCCCCCCCCCCCCCTTCCTGTCCAGGGCAATTTTCAGCTTTCAGCGCTATCACACTTTGAATAACAATTGCGCGGTCATGCAACACTGTACCCATATGAATTTTTTACCATTTTTTTTGAGACAGATAAAGCTTTATTTTGGTGGTATTTATTCACCGCTGGGATTTTTATTTTTTTTACTATGTAAATGAAAAAGTCCAAAAATTTTGAAAAAAAGTGTTTTTTTTTAATAAAATTTTGCAAATAAATAATATTTCATCATAAATCTTGGCCAAAATTTATTCCGTTATTTTTTTAGTAAAAAAAAAAAAAAATCCAAATTAGTTTATAACCAAAAATTTTAATTTTTTAACATTTTTTTTTACATTTTTATTTTATTATTTTTTATATTATTATTTTTTATTTTATTATTTTTTTTACATACTGTCACCCTAGCAGTACAGTGTCACCATGGTGACACTGTACTACTTGTGGGGGGTAATGAAGATTTTTTTTTTTTTTTTTTTTACACTGATTGCTTTTACACCCATATAGGATGTAAAAGCAATCATTTCTTTTCTCTCTGTCTGCATTCTTGCAGTCATTGAGAAATACTGAGTGAGCTGTGATTGGTCACAGCTTGTCACATGGTACAAGGCTGTTGTGAATAGGCTTGTACCATGTGACCTCTGTGATCATTCACAGATTTCACACGTAGTAAGCAATGATGTCACAAGTGACATCTTGCTTACTACTTTGCATGTGATCACTGATTGGCCAATCAGTGATCACATGATCGGGACCTCGTACAGAGGTCCCGTCCGACGATCGGTGTTTCACTGTATCCGGAGAACACAGCGGGCACCGTATCGCGGTGGTGTGTGCTCCCAGGGAGCACGCACAGCTAGAAAAGGCGGGTGCCGTTTAGGAACGGCAACCCGACCCTGGACTGCCACCGCCCTGCCGTTTATAAACAGCAGGCGGACGGCAAGAGGTTAATTTTATTTGTTGGGCAACGGGAAGCCAGTGGAGGGATTGGCAGAAAGGGGTGGAGGACACTCAATGGAGGCCAGTGGAGGGATTGGCAGAGAGGGGTGGAGGACACTGAGTGGAGGCCAGTGGAGGGATTGGCAGAAAGAGGTGGAGGACACTCAATGGAGGCCAGTGGAGGGATTGGCAGAGAGGGGTGGAGGACACAGAGTGGAGGCCAGTGTAGGGATTGGCAGAGAGTGGTGGAGGACACAGAGTGGAGGCCAGTGTAGGGATTGGCAGAGAGGGGTGGAGGACACTGAATGGAGGCCAGTGGAGGGATTGGCAGAGAGGGGTGGAGGACACTGAATGGAAGTCAGTGGAGGGATTGGCAGAGAGGGATGGAGGACACTGAATGGAGGCCAGTGGAGGGATTGGCAGATGTTGCGGAGGTTGGAGAAGTTGCGGAGGTTGGAGATGTTGCAGAGGTTGGAGATGTTGCGAAGGTTGGAGATGTTGTGGAGGTTGGAGATGTTGCAGAGGTTGGAGAAGTTGCGGAGGTTGGAGATGTTGCAGAGGTTGGAGATGTTGCGGAGGTTGGAGATGTTGCGGAGGTTGGCGTTGAGAGGTTGGAGATGTTGCGGAGGTTGGAGATGTTGCAGAGGTTGGAGATGTTGCGGAGGTTGGAGATGTTGCAGAGGTTGGAGATGTTGCAGAGGTTGGAGATGTTGCAGAGGTTGGAGATGTTGCAGAGGTTGGAGATGTTGCGGAGGTGAAGTCTACATGAGTTTGTCAACGATTGGATTTGGGGCTGAAAGGACAGATTGGAGTCTAGGATTACACCGAGTACCCTGGCGTGAGGGGTGGGACTGATGATAGTGTTGTTGATCTTGATGGAGAAGTCGGGGAGCTAGGAGCTCAGTTTTGGAAAGGTTGAGTGTGAGGAAGTGGAGAGACATCCATGCCGATATGTCACTTAGTAGGCTAGCGATGCGATTGGAGACTGAGGGGGTGAGGTGAGGGGTAGAGAGATAGATTTGTGTGTCGTTGGCATAGAGATGGTAGTTGAAGCCGTGTGAGAGTTTATCAATTGCCAAGGGAGGAGGTGTAGATGGAGAAGAGAAGGGGCCCGAGGACAGAACCTTGAGGGACCCCAACAGAGAGGGGGAGTGAGGGGGAGGTGGCAGCGTTATAGGTAACACTGAAGGAGTGCTGCGATAGGTAGGAGGAGAGCCAGGAGAGAGCGGAGTCTCTGAGGCCAAGAGAGTGGAGTTTTTTTGAGGAGGAGGGGGTGGTCAACCGTGTCAAAAGCCGTGGAGAGGTCGAGGAGTAGTAGGAGTAGGTTGATGGTTCAGATAGAGAAGGGTTACGTTTTAATCCCTCATGTGGGAGGAGATCAGTTAGAGAAGGGTTAAGTGTTAGGGATTCAGTTCATTGGGGGAAGGGAGGATTCAATGGTAAGATCTGAGGTAGGGGAGGATTAGGTGTGAGGGTTCATGGTGGGGGGAAGGACTAAGTGCAGTGGGTTCAGGTAAGGGACGCCGATTAGGTGATGAAGTTTAGGAGTTAGGGGGAAGTTAAGAGTTTAGAGCTTCTTTTGGAGGTTAAGAGCTAGAGGTTCAGGAATAGAAGGGTTAAGTGCTGATAATTCAGACAGAGGAAGGGCAACACAGCGGCTGAATGGTTAGCACTTCCACCTGACAGCACTAAAGTTGTCTGTTCGAATTCCAACCACAGCCCTGCCGCCTAGAGTTTGCATGTTCTCCCTGTGCCTGTGTGGGTCTCCTCCAGGTTTCTTCCCACACTTCAAAGAATGCTGGGAGGTTAGTTGGCTCCTGTCTGCATTGCCCCTAGTATGTGAATGTATGAATGTGAATTAGGGACTTTAGATTGTACGCCCCTTGAGGGGTAGGGATTGATTTTCATAGCCATTTGTCCAATGAAGCTGCATTTACTTTCATTCTGTGTGAATTCGGTGAAAACAAATGTCGTTGAGGCTTTTCTCTCTTCTGAACAAACATTCAGAATTATTACAAGCAGCAGTAAAATACTGCATTATGGCCAGGAGGTGGAGCTGAGGAGCAGAAGAGGAGAAGTACATACAAGAGATACAATGTGTAACAATTCTACAGATCGCTAGAGGCAATTGGCAAATACGTATAACCTTTGGTTACATGTTATATCAAATTGTTACATTGTATCTGGTAACAAAGATGTATTTTTTTTCCCATCAGTTGACTTATCAGTGAGGTCTGTGAAAACAGGCGAAATGTGGCCCCAAGATTGGAGGCTTCACCCCACCTAGAGCTCTACAAAGCGTCTGGGCTGCAGGACCCAAACCAGACAACAAAAACCTGTGTTCTCTACTACAGACACGAATCCTGGAGCCCTTCACCAGGGGTAGGTGAAGGGGCGGACTGACCATTCGGGCACTTGGGCCCGGGGTCAGTTGGGGGCCCCATGAGATGCCCCAATACCTTTCACAGGTTTTTTTGGTGTGTGGTTTGAGTGTTGGCGAGGACACAGGGGCCCCATGATTTCCTATTTCCCTGGGGCTTCATGAATTGTCAGCCCACCCCTGGGTAGGTGACACAAATACAGAATACCGTATGAAATTCTGCTAGCCAGGAGTTAGGTGTTAATGGTTCAGGTAGAGGAGGGTTATGTGTTGAGTTTCAGTGGGGGGGGGGGGGGCGTAAATGTTAAAGGTTCAGGTAGAGAAGGGATATGTGTTGAGTTTCAGTGGGGGGTAAATGTTAAAGGTTCAGGTAGAGGAGGGTTATGTGTTGAGTTTCAGTGGGGGGTAAATGCTAAAGGTTCAGGTAGAGGAGGGTTATGTGTTGAGTTTCAGTGGGGGGGGTAAATGTTAAAGGTTCAGGTAGAGGAGGGTTATGTGTTGAGTTTCAGTGGGGGGGTAAATGTTAAGGGTTCAGGTAGAGAAGGGTTATGTGTTGAGTTTCAGTGGGGGGCGTAAATGTTAAAGGTTCAGGTAGAGAAGGGTTATGTGTTGAGTTTCAGTGGGGGGGTAAATGTTAAGGGTTCAGGTAGAGGAGGGTTATGTGTTGAGTTTCAGTGGGGGGGTAAATGTTAAGGGTTCAGGTAGAGGAGGGTTATGTGTTGAGTTTCAGTGGGGGGGTAAATGTTAAGGGTTCAGGTAGAGGAGGGTTATGTGTTGAGTTTCAGTGGGGGGGGTAAATGTTAAGGGTTCAGGTAGAGGAGGGTTATGTGTTGAGTTTCAGTGGGGGGGTAAATGTTAAGGTTCAGGTAGAGGAGGGTTATGTGTTGAGTTTCAGTGGGGGGGTAAATGTTAAGGGTTCAGGTAGAGGAGGGTTATGTGTTGAGTTTCAGTGGGGGGGGGAGTAAATGTTAAGGGTTCAGGTACAGGAGGGTTATGTGTTAGAGTTTCAGTGGGGGGGGGGGTAAGTATTAAAGGCTCAGGTAGAGGAGGGTTATGTGTTGAGTTTCAGTGGGGGGGGGGGTAAATGTTAGGGGTTCAGGTAGGAGAGGGTTATGTGTTAGAGTCTCAGTGAGGGGGGGTAAATGATAGGGGTTCAGGTAGAGGAGGGTTGTGTGTTAGAGTTTCACTGGGGGGGGGGTAAATGATAGGGGTTCAGGTAGAGGAGGGTTGTGTGTTAGAGTTTCACTGGGGGGGGGGTAAATGATAGGGGTTCAGGTAGAGGAGGGTTGTGTGTTAGAGTTTCACTGGGGGGGGGGGGTAAATGATAGGGGTTCAGGTAGGAGAGGGTAGATTGGAAGGGTAGAGGTAGGAAAGGGGTCAGTGCTGAAACTCATATAGGGGAGGGTTAGGGACATTTTGGGACTCTTACTTTTTTCCCAGCTTGGAACCCAGATCACTACCAGTGCGGGGCCCCCAATGCCAGGGACCAATGAGAAACAGGGGCAATATATAGCATTCATAGTGCCAAACAGAAAATGTTTTTTTTTTCACCCTCCAACAAGCAGGCCGCCGATGTGTTTGTCCTGGAGTGAGCTCATTGATTGATTGCTGCCACGTTAGACACAAGAATGGAGCTATTACCTACAATGGGACAATTCTTTTCAGGAGAGCGTAGAAGTCAATAGGCAGTAATGTACTTTCCAATAATTTTCTCCTGCTAATGGAGCGTACAAAGGGGGTCCCCAGCACCTCTTCTTCCAGTCAGCCAGAAAAAAAATTAAATTAAAAAAATAACAGTTTCAGAGTAAAAACAGAGATATTAATTGAATACATTTGCAAATGTACATGTAGATGGCTCCCTGAGGATAATGCATGAGTAGAATATTTTTTACTTTGGTTATGTCATTGTAGGGTAGGCAGGGGGAGCTGACAGTGGACCTTCTTCCATGTTTCCCATTAACTCATTGGGCACCAAGTGTGAGTTAAATGAGAGGACTACCCCTGGGGTGGGTTTTTTCTGGGCTACATTTTGCACCTTAAATAGGGTCAATGTCAGGAATGGACTCAGCACTGGTGGTGGGACTCACCTGCCGTGTGGGCTGCAGTACCAGGGCTGACCAGCGGGTGCTCTCAGCAGCCAGAAGCTCACTCCTGCAGTCAGCCAACACCTGAAGCTGATTGCAGGAGGTGTATTTAAGGAATGACCAGGCCTGTGATCAGGGCCTTGGTGTATGTTTCCCATGAGCCCCTGTACCTGGTATCCTGTGTTCCTGCCTCGTTGCTGACCCTGCTTTGATCCTGACCTCTGCTGACCGTCTCCTGTTGAACCCCTGGCTTGCCTGACCATCCTTCTGCCTGATCCTCGGTACCGCACTACCTGCTGAACCTGGCTTGTGACCCTGACCATTCTCTGCTTGCTCCTCCTGTACCACGCTGCCCGTACGATACCGACCCAGCCTGTCTGACTACGCTTACTTCACCTGACGATCCATCCATCCCGCACGGATCACCTTTAATAAGTCTGCCTGCCTCTTCCCATCAGACTCCGTTCCTGCACTCCCCTGCCAGTACACACTCTACCACAGCCGGATGCACTCAGGGGTCGCGACCTGGTTCCAGTCTGCACCAAGTCCATCCCCCACCATCAGGGGCCCTGGTGAATAGCAGGCTGGGACTTAGACCCCGTGCCTGAGGAAATCCGTGCTGTGGGCTGCTAGAGACCGCCAGGCGGCACCTGACAGTACCTTACGGCCTACCTGACCACCTCTCCAGCCTGACTACGCCTGTGTTCCTGCACATACTAAGATTAGTGGAAGGTTGGTTTGTTCACTGTGCGTTATATATCTGGGTGGCTAATAATAATTATATTGGTATTATATCATACCTGAAGTCTGCGTTTCCCTGTGTCAGTCCACACATTTCTGGTCATACTCAGATTCCTGACAGTCAATCTCCTGCGCATGGCGTACCTTTACTTGTGCCACATCCATCAATGCCCGGGGCAAGGCTAAGACCACTTCCAGAGAGTTCTCAACCTGAAGGTGGACCTTTGACTTTAGAGATGGCTGTACACTGGAGCCATAAACTGTTCTCCGGGTAACTCTCTCGTCCCCGTGTATACCTTCACTGTAGTCGGTTGCATTTAGGAGGGACACGCTGAGCCTATGCCCGCTCCACCTGTCCAGTGTATTTCCATGACCACACTCTCAGAATGGAGCCCTGCTGTGCACTTAGCACTGATTTTCCATACATGTTCTGTGTTAACTCTTCCTCATCTGCATCTATGCACAGGCTGAGGACCTCTGCAGAGCTGATCTGCTCCCATTGCTATGGGAGATGGACCGCTCATGGAGATAGTGCTGACAACATCTCCTCGCTGCAAAACATGGCAAGGGGTAAG